CCAAATATGTTCTCCCATGCAGTGGGCTTTCTTGTTGTTTTGTTGATGGTTTCTTTTGCTGTGCAGAAGCTTTTTATTTTGATGTAGTCCCATTTGTTTATTTTCTCCTTAGTTTCCATTGCCCTAGGAGTTGTGTCGGTAAAGATATTGCTATGCCAAATGTCTGCTATTTTGCTTCCTGTGGCTTCTTCTAAGATTTTTATGGTTTCCACAAAAACTAAAAATGGAACTGGCATTTGACCCAGTAATACCAGTCCTAGGTATATATATCTCAAGAAAACAGAAACACCAATCAGAAAGGATATGTGCACCCCTATGTTTATAGCAGCACAATTTACAATAGCTAAGATTTGGAAACAGTCAAAGTGCCCATCAGAAGACGAGTGGATTAGAAAACTGTGATACATCTACACAATGGAATACTATGCTGCGGTAAAAAAGAAGGAATTCTTACCATTTGCAACAGCATGGATGGAACTGGAGAGCCTTATGTTAAGCGAAATAAACCAGTCAGAGAAAGATAAATATCACATGATCTCACTCATTTATGGAATATAATGAACTCCATAAACTGATGAACAGAAATAGATACAGAGACAAAGAAGCAACGAACCAACTGTCAAATTATAGCGGGAAGGCAGGAGAGGGTTGGGGTGGTGGTGGTAAGAGATCAACTGAAGGACTTCTATGCATGCATATAAGGATAACCAATGGACACAGACACTAGGGGTGGGGGTGAGGACATGTGCCAGGGGTAGGGGAAGCTGGGGGGAAGTCAGTGGGGGGAAAAGGAGACATATGTACTACTATTTGTAATACTCTAAGCAATAAAAGAAGACCTTTAGTCAAAAATATCACACAAATGAGGATGCTGTTACTCCATGAAAACTGGAGTGCCCCTTTGTACTGGCTGTTTCCTTCCTTGGTAGTGCCAGGCAAGGTACCTTCAGACTACACAGCGTGCTTCAGCCCTCTTCTGAGGGGTTCCTTAAGTAAAGGTTGGCCATCTAGGCCCCAGCTCAGCTGACTGGATCAGGGCTCAGTGCCTGACCAAGGGTGGTCTAGTCAGCCAGCGGCTTCTGGGGTGACTGAAAAAAACAGCCTTGCTCTCTACTTCACAATGATGACGACCCCGATCAGAACTGCTTCTGAGGAGGGACTGAGTCTGAGGAAAAGATCTCAGCAACACAGAAAAAGAGACAGGGAAACGACAATGGGCAGGATTCCTGCATAAGCAGAAACAAGGCTGCAGAAGCCAGGAGGTGAGGAGAAGATGAAAGGGATGTGAGTTGATGCAGCCACAGAACCAGTGAGCTGCCACAGTGTCACAGGATAAAGGAGAGAGCAGGTGGGTGTTTCTCCAGGAGCAGTTACCAGGGTCCAGACGGCAGAACGAAAGCTCCCGTGGGATTCTAAGGGGCACTGAGTGTTTGCGCAACTATGTGGACTGTCAGCTTGTTCTGCCTTACTCCCCCACCCCCGCCACCACTCCGAGCAATCTCAACAAAGACCACCATTAGCTGAGGAAATCTGTGTCTCCTTCCCCTAAAATAGCCCATGCCCACTTTCTCCGGGTCTCTCCTGTCCCCGGGCACAGCTCTTCCTGTCCTCCTCAATGGTCCCTCTCTGTCCCTCTCCCTCTGCTACCCACCTCTTTCCTCATTTGAGAGTTTCTCTTCCTCAAACACTTTGAGCTTCTCTTAGGTGGCTATCATCTAGAATTGACACATATTTATACTGATTGAATCCAGTTTAATGCATTCTGTTTACCTGAAAGACTACTTTTAGTTATTGCTTGATAACTAAATCAAGTGGAGAGAGCCTAACACTTTTTTTGTCTCATTGTCATATAATACTTAAATAACGTTGATTAGCAAAGATAATACTCTATAAGGCAAGGAGAAGGTCACCAAAATCTGCATGCAGCTAACTTCTTACACTTGAACCAAATACAATTTTTTCATGCACTAGACAGATATTAAATTTGTACGTATTACAAATTTAATAGGTTCTGAAGACCAGCTGATTCACTGAAAAGAGATGTACCCTAATGAGCACATATCATTTCAGAAAAAAATGTGAAGACATCTGTCTAACAGATGAGAGGCCGCTCTTATTTCTTGTATTCAGCAAAAAGAGAAGTAGACACTGTCTGTTTAGAAAAACTGGAAATTAAGCTCAACATAGGGCTGTGTTTGGTATCAGGGTATGCAAATGTAAGTGAATCTACTGGATGTGATATTCAATATAGCTCCTAGTCTTTTCCTTGGGGAAAATTTATATGCACACTGAAGGCTCCCTCGGACATTAAGAGGATTTTACTCTTCAATGGTGATAAAAAGTGGGGACAATCTATGAGATCTTGAGTCTGTTAATATCTTTAGAGGATAACAAAATGCAGAAAGCACAGTCTTTTGGTCACCTGGTGGCACTAGCCCATGTTTAACTCAGGTAGCGTTTGGTTTTTCTTTTCATTTGATTTGGTCACAGGACCCTGAAACCAAAATTGCTTCCTGCTGCAAAGGAAAATGCTTCTCATTATCCAGTTTATGCAAATCCAGGACTATTAACGAAATAATGAAGTGACCTTCGCATGCAAGTACAGAAACAGTTTGGCGTTGAGGGACTGGGGAAAAATTAGGGCCTGAAACACTGCTGCCTATCACTCCTTGTCATTTCAAAAACAGAAGAGAATCAATGCACTTCCCTCCGGCTAACTCTCAAGAGAGATGGGGAAATGCTGACCTTAGCCTAGTCTTAGTCTATTAGGGCCCCCCACCATTTCCCCCTCCCTCTCCTTCCCAACCTTTCTGGGCTTTACAAAGAATTGGGACATTTGAGGAAAAGTTAAAATGCCACATCCTGCTCTAAACAGTTATTTCATCAAAAACAAAATTAAAATATAGAAAATTCCATGTTTTTCTCTATGAATACCTATATTTATTTAGATTTTTTTTGCTCAACATGTCTACAATTTGATATTCAACTATTGGTCAGACTAAGTTCTTTTGTACAGGCTGTCTTAGGACAATATATAGGCTACATATTTTTTATCTCTAAGATGGCCCCATTTGATTAAAATTAAAAACCCACTAAGGGGAGAAATTAAAATGATTTCTTTTTCTGCCGACAGAAAACTCAGAAGCCAGTCTCCATGCAGCTTTTCTGAGAAAAGAAAAATTTAAGATGTTTTCTTAATATAATGTTTAATCAAGCTGAGGTAGTTAAATTTGGAAGAGAACAACAAAAACACTGATATTAAAGCTTTACAAGTTGATGTAAAATGACAAAATTCATAGAGAAGATATTTGTGTTATCAAATAATTCTAGAGGAAGATCTTCTACCATGCAGATATAACCTTAAATTAGTTTAAAAAATATACTGCAAAGAAAATACATTTTAAAATACTGATGATCACAGTTCTGAGCAGCTTTTAAAATCTCCTTTCAATTAATTTTTGAATCCTCACAGGCTAGGCTTGTGTTCTGTAAGTTTGATTTGATTTTACAAGGAGAAGCTGACCTCATCTACACATGTTCTAACAGCTTTGACTGGCCAGGCTCAGGCCGGAGAACTCTCAAAAGAGCAGAGAAGAAAGAACACAGCCTTGCAATTGAAATTCAAACTTGCTTGTGTGCATGTGTGTGAGAGAGCAGCCCAAATAAAGTCCACTTTTTGTTTTGTTCTACTGAATTGGCTAAAGGATTTATAAAGCCAGGGCCCTCATTATGGTAATGTAGGTTAAATACTTTAAGTCTATGCTGCAACCTCATGCATTCAAACCACTCTCAGAACCAGGAGGTCGCTGGTCAAACACTCAGCCCCACTCTTTGTCTGACCAATGGAAATTCAGAATGGCAGCACAAACGCTGCTGGGCAGTGAAGCTGTGCTTCTAGGTAACTGCATCCAACAGGGAAAAACAACCTGAAGAGTGAAGGGTTTCACTCCTACCCACAAGACAAGGTGGACAATGCAGCCTGTTAACCTCTTTCCCATTAAGAGACAGAGGAAGGAAGAGGAGCGCCAGCCATGCTGTACCCACCCTCCAGTTCACTAGAACACCGAATTGCTGAACATCCACATGAGCAAGGAACAAACATGGACTAGTGAATAAGAAACTTTCCCCACAGAAATGTTGGTTCTCTATTTGCTTGAGAGTGTTACGTGACGTTGAAGGAAAAGATACACACACACACACAGGCACAAAATTCCCCAAACCCAGACACTTCTATCTGGCAATAAAAGAGAGGCACAGGCTTTTCAAAAGTTGCTGTCCTATGCTTGTTTTCTGTGAAGCATGTGTGATGACGGGGACAGGCGGACAGGCCCAGCGATGGCCCTGTTTAGATTATGCTCCTTATCTGCAGAATAGTGGCAGTCACAGTCCCATACAGGAAACAAAGGGAAACTTCACCCTGATAAGGTCTGTACCAGGGGCCTGGCAGGGATCAGAAATGGGTGACGTGGCCCACGTGGCAGCTGAGCAAAGCCTAGAGCACATGTCCTTCCCGAGGCAGGCGGCCAGCATTCAGTCAGACTCACTCACTTCCGGCTGGATTGTGGGCATGGGATGGAGCTGCCGATCTTTCAAAAAAAGCCAGAAATCCAAACTTTGTGTAAAATCTCCCCATTTTAAAATGAGAGCAACTGATTAAAAAATAAATTGTGTGGGTCAAACAAAGCAGGTCTGTGGCTTCCATTCAGCCCAAGGTTAACCTTTTTCTCACCTCAATAAGAATGTGTGAATAGTTAGAATGGTTTGCTTCTGACTAAATGGCTTGTTTCAGATCATATGAATGAAGTACAATTTTGGTTAGAATCCAGAAATGCCTGAAAATATGCAAATGACTGACTGCACGTCTCCTCAGTAGAACTGGGAGTGACTGCCATAATGAACATAAGAGACTTGTCAGGTGGGGAAAACCTGAACTATTTCACTTAAAAGATCTATTTGACATCTACTCAATATTATTTTCCAAGGAAAGTGGGCCATCTTACCTGTGCTCTCTTGAGAATGCTGTGCTCATCAGTGCTTGCTGTTTGATAGACTTTTGCCATAACTATTGTTTTTCCCAAAGGCCCGCATGCTTTCTCCAGATTCTGGCTGCAATCTTACATTTGGGATGGTAAAAATAGAAGACACTGTGGACAGAATGAAAAGTTATCATTTACATATTTATCAATGTATTTCTTATCTTCTTTTTTAATAAAAATGGTTATTGAGATACAATTCTGGAGGCTAGCACATGGAACATTACAGTATATATTGGCCTTTGAAAGTCAAGTAATCACAGCCACACTCACATTTACACAGACTTACACACATATGACAGGACAGTCTGTCTTCTCCTCAGAATCACAGCTCAGTTGGTGAAAACAACCTAAAGGGTGTCCCAAAATTCACGCAAGAAGTAATTTTGATAGAAAACACAGGTTTATAATTAAAAATTGTAAATTTTTTTATTGATCCATAAAGTATACAGTATAGGGGTATGTATGGAATAGCATATCAGTGTATTCTCACGAAAGATTTGCATCTTCATGCTTACAAAGTTCAATTGACTCAAGAACTGAAGCCTACTGACCACGCACAGCGAATAGAGTTTGTTGAATTGATTATGGAACAACAACAAGTGGATTCTGATTTTTCAAACAAAATCATCTTCAGCGATGAGGCTCATTTTCATCTTGATGGCTTGGTTAATCGACAAAATTGTCGCATTTGGAGTTCAGAAAAATCCATGAGTGATTGTTGAGAAACAAATGCATCCACAACGTGTCACTGTTTGGTGCAGATTTTGGGCTGGAGGCATCATCGGACCATTCTTCGAAAATGTGGCTGCTCAGGCAATAACAGTTAATGGTGCTCGCTATCGCAACATGATAATCCAGTTTTTTGTGCCTAAATTGCAAGATATGGATGTGGACGACATGTGGTTTCAACAAGATGGTGCCACATGCCATACAGCCCGAGAAACAATTAAAATACTGCATGAGTCATTTCCTGGTTGTGTAATTTCCCGTTTCGGTGATCAGAATTGGCCGCCCAGATCATGCGATTTAACGCCATTCGACTTTTTTCTTTGGGGGTTTTTGAAGTCTAAGGTTTATGCCAACAAGCCCACGACCACCTACGCCTTGAAGGAGGAAATTGAGCATTGTATCAATGAAATTCAGCCACATTTATGCAAAACGGTCATGGAAAATTTCAACAAAAGAGTGTGTATGTGCCAGCAAAGCTGTGGAGGCCATTTACCTGATATGCTATTCCATACATAACCCTATACTGTATACTTTATGAATCAATTAAAAAATTACAATTTTTAATTATAAACCTGTGTTTTCTATCAAAATTACTTCTTGCGAGAATTTTGGGACACCCTTTATTTTTCCCTTTCTTTGTGCCATACTTTCATTAAAGAAATATTTATTGAGTCCCATGCTGTCCTAGGACTTCAGAACCCTGAAGTGCACGAATCAGAAGGAAAAGAAATCCCTGTTCTTACAGATTCCATTTGGGGAAGACAGAGGAAGACTATCAGACAAATATAAACTATCAACTGGAAGTGAGTGTCATGATGAAAAATAAATCAAGGAAGAGAAATTGGAAATGCTGGGGTAGAAGTAGGTACATTTGAACAGACACCCAAAGGAGGTGAGAGGACAAGCCACACCTATCTAGAGCAAGAGGAAGTACAAATGTAGAAAGAGGAACCAGCAAGAGCTGACTCTCAGGGGGCAAGAAGAGAAACAGGCAAACAAGTTAGGAGGCTATTGTAAAAATATAGGTGACAAGTGGATAAAAAAGCTGTGGTCCATATATACAATGGAATATTACTCGGCCATAGAAAAGAGTGAAGTCTTACCATTTGTGACAGCACTAATGGACCTACAGGATATTATGCTCAGTGAAGTACGAATTTGTCAGAGAAAGACAAATACCATATAATTCACTTATATGTGGAATCTAAAGAACAATATAAATGAACAAACAAAACAGAAACAGACTCACAAATGCAAGAAAAGACTAGTGGTTGCCAGAGGGGAGGAGAGCTTGGGGACTGGATGAAAAAGGTGAAGGGATGAGAAGATTGATAGTCACAAAATAGTTTCAGGGATGTAAAATACAGCATAGGAAATAGACTCAATAATATTGCAATAACTATGTATGGTGTCAGGTGGGTAGTAGAAATATCAGGGGGAGCACTTTGTAAAGTATATGATTGTCTAACACTATGTTGTACACCTGAAACTAATACAAAATAATATTGAAAATAAAAATAAATTGAGAACAAAATACAGCTGAAAGAAGACAACCAGTGACTTGGAACACAGTGATATTGGAGAAGGGAGAAGAAGGGGTATGATTCTGGATATATTGTGAAGATAATACCAACAGAGTCTGTGGAAGAAGTGAGTATGGGTGTGACAAAAGAAAGCTTCTGAGAGAACCTTTATTAACTGGAAGAACAATGTTGCCATTTATTAACAAGGGGAAGACTACAGAGGGAGCCAGTCTGGGGGAAGAGATGAGGAGTTCAGTTTTTGGAATACTACTGGTAAGTTTGAGATGCCTACGAGGTGGCCAAATGGAGCATCTGAGTAGTCAGGTGGATATGCAATCAGGGGAGGTGGGACTGGAGATACAAATTTGGAAGCTGTCAATGTATAAATGATATTTAAATCATGAGATTGGATGAGATCATCTGGGCTCTAAGGAGTGAATATAGATAGAAAGATTTGAGGACTAAGCCCCAGGGCACTCTAACAGTGAGAGGTCTGGCAGATCAGGAGAAACCCACAGGAGCCTGGAAAGTAGAGGCAGAAGGAAAACCCCAGGAGAGTCCTGTCCTAGAATCCAAGTGAAGGAAATGCTACCCAGAGGGGAGGGTTGAATTCTGCTGATGGATCAAGATGAGGGCTGAGGTAGGGTCAATGGATAGAGACTTGGAAAACAGTGGTTTTGGAGTCTTGGGGGCAAAAGCCTGAGTCAAAAGGATCCACAAGGGAATGGAAATCTAGGAATTACAGGCAGCAAATATATTTAAAATGGTGTATGCTTGTTTTACTTTTAAAAGATGACATGGAACTACCCTGGCACAATGCTGTTTTAGGGTAATATCTAGGACATATTTAGGACCGGGTAGGAAAACCTGCAAACCTTATAGCTGGAAAGGTCCTTAGGGAGCACCGTTTCTCTCAGTGAGAAACTGGAAGCGCACAAGAATAAGGAACTTGGCCGAAGTTGCCGAGCTACTTAGTGGAGCTGATGCTAGAATCCAGGAGGTCTGGTTCCCAGTTCAGGGCTCTTCACACTGCACCAATTTGTTAGGCTGTTTTTCACTGCAGATCAGAGTGCTGTGAATGAGCAAATGAATGTAATAAAATCAAGGCCTTTGCACTATGAAGTGTATTTTGTTCATTTACTTTGACAAGGGTAGTTCAGCTTCAATAATTTATGTCACTTGATAGTATACACAGGAGAGTGCCCTATGGTGTGTTTGGGAAAAGTAATGAATTTCTTCTAAATCAGCCTCTCATTTACTTCCCTGCAATTAAATCTCTGTAAAGAAGTGGGACAAGGCTGTTGGGGTTTCAGGACAGAGGGAGAATGAGAAGGTGCCACCAGAATTAGCCAGCTTTAACCGCAAGATCCCCAGGTAACTGTGCCATTATTCCTGCTTGATAAGTTGGTAATTCCTGCCTCACTGGCACACTAATACATTACTTCTAAATTGTGGTATTATGTAAACTGATGGGGTTTTAAGGACTATTATAATAAAGAAAGGTTCTCTATTGTCATATGTTCTTCCAAAGCAACTACGAGTCTGGCATAAGTAAACAACTTCATCTTTGTATAATCCATGAAATGACTGCAGTGTTCTATCTACATAACCAGGGCTCTGACCACATTTGATAGTCTTCTCTCAGGGTCTGATACATTATAGTGGCCAAGAAGGCTGGTGCCCACTCTTCTCCCTTCCGTCTGGTTTCATTTTCTGCTTGCATAACTGTTTTTCTTTTGTCAACATTATTTTTAAAAATGCTATCTTTTTGGCCAAGTTCCTTATTCTTGTGCGCTTCCGGTTTCTCATTGAGAGAAACAGTGCTCCCTAAGGAGCTATCTTTTAAGACTGTGAGTGCCCTGGACTGAACTGTGTCCTCCCAAATTCGTATGTTGAAGCCTTAACCCCCAACATGATGGTCTTTCGAGATGGGGCTCTGAGTAATAATTAGGGCTAGATGAGCTCATGAGGGTGGGGCTCTCATGATGAGATTAGCAGCTTCATAGGACGAGGACGTGAGAAAGAGGTGACTCTCTGCCATGTGAGCAGACAGCACGGTAGCTGTTCACAAGGCAGGGAGAGGCTCTCACCAGGAACCCGATTTGCCTGCCCTTTGAACTTGAACTTCCCACTTTGAACTTGAACTTCCCAGTGAGAACTGTGAGAAACCGTTTTTGTTTAAGCACCTCCCCACCCCTCTGCCTATAGGAGCCTGAACCGACAATGCAGCGAGGTGCCTGGAATCGATGAATCTAAACCATCACCTGCTTGCTAAGACAATCCATTTATTGGTTCCGTAACACGTCTTCTCAGACAGACCTCCTACCAAATCTCCTTGAAAAGGAAGCAAGCACAGGAGGGTACTGCCAGCTCTACTGCCATTGCCAGCTGGTGAACTTTTACAAGACTCCATGCTAATGCAAAATTGAATGTTAAGAATTTCTAAATATAGTCTGCAGAACCTCAACCTAGATAACAGTCACCAAAACCAGTCATTTCACCCAGAAGAACTAGTTCCAAAGTCTCCTCCAAAGTCTCAGAGTGCTTTGTTTTGTAAACATGTGTATAGGACTACCACGTTGTTCAAAATGGAAATGACTATAGTATTTAATACTGGGACTGTTCTTTCTTGGGACTGGATTTATGCATCATAATGATTATCTACTAGACACAGAAACAGCATTTCTGTAACTCAAAATTGTTACCAGAGGCATTTAGCAGAATCATGCTTTAAAAAAAATAATGATTTCTCATCTTTATTCTCTCCCCTTCAAAAGGTTTCACTCCTCCTGATGTTTAACGTTATGCAAAGATGTGTTTCTGCCAATGAATATCACCTTATGGTTATGCTGCTGCAAATAGCCTGCTGTGAGCTGATAAAGGGATTAATGCAGCCAAAATTCTTAATCTGTGAAATTACAAATTAAATTCTCATATTAAAAATACCACCCTGAGGTATTTTTTGTGGTTTTAATTCCCCTCTGGTGTTCTGCATACACTGTGCTTGCTAATGAGGGGGACAAGGCTGTCTCCGCTGGCAGCCTGCTGCCGAGTGATAATGTGGAGGCATTTACTTCCTGATAGAAAATGGATTTAACCACTGGCTGATAAACTAAGTGGCAAGTGGGTAATAAGTCCATATTAACAGAAAAGTAGGACTACAAAATTCAGAATTCATAGACCATCAAAATCCTGGCTTAAACTCAGTCATCAAGTCAGATGGGATTGAGATGTCACCAAGGAGGAGTGATATCAAGCTACAAGTTATACTAAAAAAGGAAAACAAACCATATGTTTGAGTTTGCATCAGTTTTTTTCAGTATAAAAGAATCAGTTTTTTTCAGTATAAAAGAATGTGCCACCAATTCATTATTTTTCCATAGTGATCTCATCTTTAATTTTTTAAAAAAAATAGGGATAGCTGTTGTCATGGTCAGTGGGTATACTTTTAAAAAGGAAGTAGTTCAGAACATAAAATAAATATGTAATATTTTTAAAAATTTACAAAGCTTAGGGGGAGTAGTGGATTATATATCTATAGTCACTTTAGGGTAAAAAAAAGGAATTCAAATTAATTATGGGATTATAAAAAATATTTTAGGGTAGGAATACTTAAGAGCAGTTGTTACTTATGACTTAGTTCCAAAACAAAAGGGTTATTGTTGCCAAGGATAATTTAATACAACGGGGGAAACGTCTTAAGTCCAAAATATTAAAGAAATAACTAGGTATGTTCATGGTAATTGATGTATATTCAAGGATTAATAAGCACATCATCAATATCTATGCATATATGCAGCATATTAATTTTCAGGCAATCAGAATGAGAAAAAATATCTCTAGTTGGCATGTGGAAAGAACGTATCACCATTAAACAAAAATGTTCTTGAGTGTTTTGCGAAATTTCACAAGAATTCTGTTTCACACTTTGGAAGAAAGATGAGATCCTCCCAGCCATAAATCCTCCCCCAAATATTTAAAAATGTAATTGAAAGAGGCTGTGTAAATATGAACACTTTTATAAAAACAAAACAAAAACCCACCCAGGAATGTGTTTTGTTTGAAGAGATCTAGAGAAGATCTGTCTGTATTAATACCAAGAGCATTTGTAGTTAAAATGAATTATGTCTTCAGTTCTTACATGTCAATTCAGTGCATTAGCCAACTGCCAACCCTACTCGTCCGCTCACTGCAGAGCAGCCCTTTTTAAGGTTATTGTTACAACCAAGATGGTCTCTGAGAATCAAACAGAAATGAATCATTCCTCCTCTGTACTGCAGCCAGTTAAAAAGTACTGTATGCATAAATATGTAAATCATATTTTCCCTTTCCTTTATGACTGCTCAGATCATTTTTTTGGACACACACATAATCAAACACAAAGACATGCGGCTGCAAACTGCAGAGCAGAGATAGCAAAAAAGGAATCCATTTTCTTCCTGTGTCTGGTAAGCTGGCGTTTGAATGGCAGGATTCCACTAAATATATACACACAACCCCCCTTCCCCTCTGTGTTCTCTCTCTCTCTCTCTCTCTCTCTCTCTCTCTCTCTCTCTCTCCACACACACACACACACACACACACACAAATGTACATATATGTATATAGACACACACATAATATATATGCAAGCACATAATCTTACACATGCACATGTAAACATCGATCTCTCTACATGTATGTTACACGTAGATGATAAAATGATGTCCCTGCTTTGATTGGATGTTGTGGATTTGTCCTACTCACTATCGGTCAGTTCCCATAGCCGTGGGGGCAGGTCACTAAAATACTCGTGGCTCAAGGCAGCCTGTGCTGATAGTCTGTTCTTTGGGGAACATTGTAGGAGTTTGGAGGCCAGATCCTCTGCGTAATTCACATAGCTGAGCCTGAAAACATAAGCACAAAAGAGAGAAATCAGACCAAACATGAAGAGTCACTCAGTAAGACATAAGGCTCACCCAAATTTTCTGGACTTATTTATCCCTGGCCAAGAAAACAAGTTAAAATTACCTGCTGAAAATAAACAGAAGCCGAATACATGTTGGTTCTTAGAGATCTGTTACGCTAAACTAACTGGCTTTTACTCTTGTAATCTTAGTCTCATTAATTTAAAATATTCCTACTATAAGCAAAAGGTTGATACTGGCAGGCTAGAACTAGGTCCAGAGGTAGAAAATTTCAGACAATAATTTATCAAATAGTTGCCAGAATTTGTTCGTAGGATCTATGTACTGCATACACATCTGGATACATTTATAGGAAAATTAATACAAAATAACCAGGAAAATTAAAATAAAACTGCTATTAAATTCTCTAGTTACGAATGTTACTTTTTCCTCTAAGAATTCACATTTTCTTACATCGAATATAAAATTTTTGGAATAAGTACAGTCAAATGTCAACAACCAAAATATTAACATGCAGGTTAACAAAGGGGATATGCTTAAACCATATGGGGCTGAATCAATTCAAGATGACCTTTAAAACAACAGTAGATAGAAAATGTGTCCCAAGATTACAAAAAAAAGCAGAGAAGTAAAGTCTTCCATGTGGTACAGCTTTCAAACGGGCAGCAGACCACACAGCCCAACCCAGCCCAGCCTTGCTTTTCATGGAATCTCTGTTTCACTGCTCCCTACAAACAAACCTGGATAATTAACATAGTAATAACAAAAGTATTCCCAATAATGGCTACCATTTATAGATAGTTGAACATGTGTCAAGCCCTTTTGCACTCTCTCATTTATGACAGTCCAATAAGATCATTCTGTTCCAATCTAGTAACAGGAAGCTAAGTGGGAGTCTGAGAAGGTAGTGGGTTGCTCAATTAGAAGGCTGAGTGAATTCAAATCTCTCCAGAATTATAACTCTAAAATGGTTAGGAGGATGTAGAGTACAGCACAGAGAATATAGCCAATAATTTTGAAATAACTATGTATGGTGCCAGTGGGTACTAGATTTATCGGGGGATCATTTCCTAGGTTATATACTAGTAAATGTCTAACTACTTTGCCATACACCTAAAACTAATTTGATATTGAATGTCAACTATAATTGAAAAATTTAAAAAGTTAAAGAAAGAAAGTGGTTTGTATTTGCCATGCTCTTGGATTGTCTCCAAATTAGAGGCTTTTACCCTCGATTTCTGTGATTCTGCAACAAGGTTCAATAAGTACAGACTCGGAGGCAGCCAGAAGACTGTGCAGAAAGTGGCATCTGCCTGTGGGTATTTGTTCAAAAGCCCTGAGACTAGTAAACACACAATTAGCCTTAAACAACTTTCCTCAAAGACCAACAACTCTCCCCATTCCCTCCTCAAGCAGCTTTTTAATATCGATTTTAAATTGTTGTGGGGGCAGAAGAGGAAAGGAAGCAACAAACCTGGGTAGAAGAAGAAAAAGGGGAAAAAGCAAAGACCTTCTCTCTAAAGCTTCACACATGGAGCTCTCATAGATGGTTCAGTGTTTGGCAGCTGCAATGGCTGTTTTTAAAATACTGATCAGTGGATTGGTTTTAAATATGTCTGCCTGGCAAAGGGAAATGTGTCCACAGGAGAAGGAGGCATTGTCGGATTCTCAGATTTCTTTCTCCCCCACTTTCCTTTAAGAGGGGCCAGGGCCATCAAAACTAATCCTTCCTCTTCCTAAGACACTTTTCACTATTTTTAAAATATCAAATGCAAAGTTTAAGATAGGTACTTTATGTTAAAAGTTGCACTTACATTGCATGTAGTTTATCCTATATAATAAAAGGGTAATATGCAAATTAACCCTAACAGCAGAACAACTGTGAATGACTGGTCACAATGACACACACTGACCACCAGGGGGCAGACACTCAATGCGCTCCCACAGGGGCAGCTCTGCTCAGCCACAAGCCAGGCTGACGGCTGCCTCCTCAGCAGTGCTAAGGATGTCTGAATGCAGCTTAGGCCTGCTCCCCCCTGGCAAGTGGACATCCCCCGAGGGTTCCCGGGCTGTCAGAGGGATATCTGACTGCCAGCTCAGGCCCATTCCCCCAGGGAGCGGGCCTAAGCCAGCAGGTGGACATCCCCCGAGGGGTCCCGGACTGCAAGAGGGCACAGGCCGGGCTAAGGGACCCCCCCGAGTGCACAAATTCTTGTGCACTGAGACTCTAGTCTATAATAATAAAGCATAATATGCTAATTAGACCGGATGTCCTTCCGGACGACCTTCCAGATGAAGCCAGGGCTGCTGGCGGCCAGAGGGAAGCCCGGGTTGTGGGTGCCAGAGGGAAGCCAGTGCCGGCAGCTGGGGGAAGGAAGGCCTACTCTTGTATGAATTTTGTGCATTGGGATATATATATATATATATATATATATATATATATATATATATACTGGTGTCCATTCTATATAACTTTGATAAAATAAGACAGTGCCAGATTGAGACCAGATCTGAGTTTTAGTCCTGACTCTGTTACAAGAGTGATGAAGCATGGTTTCACTATTTCGAAGATTTATATTTGTAGTTGTATTTTTGTTTTTTGCAACAGATTGCTGGTCACTCTTAAATTTTTGTTTTTTGCAACAGATTGCTGGTCACTCTTAAATTTTATGCATATGTACCTAACTATAATAAAATCACCAATATAAGACAATTTCATTTCTCATCTCCCAAATTGAGCAAACTTTAATAATGTTGATGAAACAAACCAATGCTTATTTGTGACATTCAGTTTATACACAAATTATAGATTATACATATAAAATTTTAATTTAGAAAGTTTGCTATTTCCTCACTTGCATTTCAAAAACCACTTTTATTCCAACTCTCCACATGCGTTTTCAACATCAGAGTCTTTGTGATCACCAGAACCTTTGAGCCCATGCAAGGTGTTTGAGACATGAGACTTGTAAGATATCTTCAGTATTTGAAAGTTATACCCCAAGCCAAAGGTGTACCTCATCAGAATGCCATAATGATTGTGGCTATTGTTTGCATTTTCCCATTGTGATGGCAGGTTTTTAAAAAATTTCTTGCAATTCCATCAATTTTTGTTTTATATATTCTTTAAAGTCGAGTAATTATGTACATAATAATCTAGCACTATTATCTCTTCCTGGTAAATTTAAGTAATCAATCCTTCTGTAGTGACCGTTTTTATCTTTAATAAAACTTTCTGGGCTAAAGTTCATTCTTTTTCTAATATTAATTTAATATTTTTAGGTTTTTTTAAATTCAATATTTGCCTGACATACCTTTGGCAACACTCTTAATTTTTCATAGCCATAATTTTAAGGTTTATCTTTCATAAATACTACATAGCTGGGTTTAATACTTATTCAATTAAATAATCCCCATTTTCTAAGAAGAAAATTTAGTCTATTTACATTTTGTGATCACTGATATATTTAAATTACTGCTACCATTCTATTGCATTCTATTTCCACCTACTTTATCTTTTCTTTTTCTGTCTTTTTTTTGGATTTAATTTTATTCAACATTTCCATCTTCTGTTTTAGAACTATACATTCTATTTTTATGTTTAGTAATTACTTTCAATTTTTTTTGCATTTCAATATTTATTTAGATGTTTAAGCTCTCACAATGAGTTTTACAAGCTGATGGACACTGACAACGTATTTTTCCCAGAGAATTATAATCATACATCCAGACAATACAAATATATGACTGAGTTAATATTGATGCACAGCACCATTTTATCAATTACATAATAATACAAATTGTTAAGTATACAAATGAAAAGTCACAGAGTTCAACAGAAATATAAAATATTAGATGTATGTTCAGTTCATTAGCAGAAACTAACTTCTGTTTCATAGGGCATATTCCATACCTTCTGCACAAGACAAGCAAAATATTTTGCTAAAAATCCTTTAATAGCTCACTCCCACTCATTTTTCCAGGCCCTCTCTTCTAAGTTGCACCCCAAAGTGCAAACATTAAATTAGTTCTCAGACGTTTCGTCTGGAGACTGTAAAGATATGTGCTTCTGTACGATGTGGATTTTACATGAACTTTTTCACCAGAGGTTTGTGATTTTTCAAAATGGAGGTTATCATAGCTGCGCAAAATGAGATTTATAGAAAGACTTTAAAAAATCATCATAAACTTGGTCAAAAGCCAACAAAATCAGCGGTTACACAAACCTGATGTCTCCCGTTTTAAATATGGGAGCTATAAACATAAAGTAGCAGGCAAATAGCCATAGAAGCCCTACTGTCAATGTTTGAAATGAAGGGATAAACCACAGGCAATCTACACTGGTTTTCCTCGTTCCTAGAATTTTAATTCTGTATGATATTAAAAACATGTAAGTATTGTGCTTGGTATTTCAGCACCCAGTCTCTCTAAATTTCTTACCTTTTGCTAAGATTCTGGCATGGAAATAGATTTGAAGGAGACATAATACTGCATGACTTCAGGAAAGGTCAATTGATAAAAGTGATAAGCATGTTTTAAATGCTGAACAGTGAGAATCTTTTGCTAAATTTCCAACTAGGCTGATCATAATCCAAACACAGGGGCTGAAATTCCGCCAAGCGGAGGCCTGATAAAACTGCTTATCAATGCTCCCAGGATAGCTTCATTGACTTATCCTTCACCAAGCCTACATTTTGGCTCATAGTTATGATAAACTGGGTCCTGTCTGAAGTTCCATTTCCAAGGCAATTGAATCCAGCAGCCCAGTTTTATTGACTGCAATGGTAATTTCCATGACTACTGGTATCTATGAAGTGCAGCTGGATTTCAGGACAATACTTCTAAAGTTGCTTTTTTTTTTTTGAAAGCTCCACTCTACTTTTGTTTTATGAACTGGACCACATGTTCATATTTCATTCCACCTTCAATTAATGCTAGGGCAACAAGCATTAGAGCTCTCCCAAGACTTATAACACAAC